AGATTTAAACACTGAGACTTCTGTTCAAACTGTGAATTATATTCTGATTTTGTGATAAATTTTACATATATTATTTGAAATGAAATATGTTCTGAGTAAACAAATACTGCCATGGAACTTACCTACTTAGATTTAGAATAACTATTTCAACCGTAATTATTTTAAATTTCAAAGTACACTGAGATAGTTGAAGAATAGCAAACCCTTTAAAGCAATATTAAAGACATGAAACAATGATGTTCAATGCCTTTTGTAGACCTGTTTTGCAATGTAATTCACTGCCCTCCTGCAAATGCCTAGTACTTTGATTTGTGGAGATTTGATTTTCGATGAACCAGTATTTCAAAAGTAGAAAATACTGATTAGATTACTTAATGTTATATAGCCTGATAATATTTAGAACTAACTATACTGAATCAAAGGACTTTTTCCCGTTATTCATGGATCTCATCACTGTTTCTGGAAGTTACAAAGTCTCCAAGTAGTTTGTTTTTACATTTCATCTCTCTAGTAATCCCTGAAGGACATGTGGGTATATATTTTGCCCAAGTGTGTGTGTGTGAGTGTGTGTGTGTATGTGTGTATTTATCTAAATTCTCATCTACAGAAGAGAAAATCGGCATGTATGTGTATGTGGGTGTGTCCCCAGAACCAAAACTCCAACACTGAGTTGTAAAAGCAGTAATAGTAATTGCTTAGCATCTTAGCATTATGATTTAGCCTGAGGCTATTATATTTCCTTCTCATAACAGACATAAATCCATGTTTGGAGAGAACTGAGCAAGAAACATGTTTACCAATCCTTTGCATATAAATAATTTATCATAGTTTAAAAAAAGGAGTTAGATTTATCGTGATCACTTTGCAATATATACAGCTATAAAATCGTTATGATTACACCTGAAAATAAGATAATGTTGTATGTCAATTATACCTCAATAAAAAAAATCAAGAAGAAAAAAGATACAGGTCTAAAAACCTAAACCAAGTTAAACAGATCCAAAGTCCAAAATCCTGCCCCATGTTTGGAAAACATACTTTACATTGCCTGGTCCAACTTCCTATTATCAGAAAGAGAACTCGCTTCTACAACAATCTATACAGATGCTCACCTAGGGTCTGCATAATTGCTTCCAGTGAGATGACAATCACATCTTTGTGAAACTTTTCTTAATTTTAAAGCTTCAATTGTTCATGTTATGTTAAGCCTGAATCTCAATTTATTATATGTCATATTTATTGGACTAGTTCTGCCCACTGGAGAAACACAAAAACTACCATGTGACTAGTCTATGAATATTTCTTTTTAAATGTGTATCTGGTGAGTCATTCCTTTCCAAGTCCACGTATACCTTCCCCCCAATTCTTCAGAGGCCTTGTTCTCCAGACCCTGCCCGACTGTGGCTGTCTTCTTCTGAATAGACTCTCGTTTGCCCATTACGTGCATCGCCTCATACTTTGTTTTTCTAGAGACACTGGTGTTTGCATTTAACATGCATTAAAGATTCTGTGCAAAAAGAAAAAGTATTCATAAATAAGCTCTATTTATTTAATTCCCCTCAATAACCCAAGCAATTAATACTGCAGATAAATTTTTAAAATTCATTCTATGAAAAACTGCCTTAGCAGTTTAATTTTTTAATTATTGGACATTCTATCCATACATCCTGCTTGGACTAAGAGATACCAAGCCTCTTACAAATTCAATATTAATTAGACATTGGAACACAGCCAACTACATAAATTTTTTCCTCATATTCTCCTTATGGCATCAGTTTTATACCGGTTACAAACCAAAAGGCAATTTAGGGTACAAATAAAAGTTAAATGTAATGTATTCTACCTATCAACTCTAACATTTATAAATGTGGGAGTGGCTTATGAACCATTAAAATATCTGGGTAAAAACTTCTAGAATTAAGAGATTAGATTCTTTTGGACAGAGCAGAGTTTAATAACTGACTGCGACATGTTTCAGAAAATATAAAATTGATTCTCTAAATATCAAAATAATATCTTAATTAGCTACAGAATACATTTAAAATAGAAAAAAAGAGTATATCTTAAAGAAAGGCATTATTATTTACTTAGCCTTATAGATATCATTATATAATTAGGTAAGTATTAATGACACTCCAAAGCAGGGGTGTCCACCCTTTTGGCGTCTCTGGGCTGCACTGGAGGAAGAAGAGCTGTCTTGGGCCGCACATTAAATACACAAACACTCACGAAAACGGATGAGCAAAAAGGTTTTCAGTAAATCTATCACGTTGTGCTGGGCTGTGTGCATAGCCACCCCGGGCCGCGTGGAGCCCACGGGCCGCAAGCAGGACACCCCTGCTCTGAAGATTTTCCAAACCACAAAATTTGAACTTATATTATTTTATGTTATATTTTTAATATAGCGAGTATTTTTGAAAACTATTCTCAAACTTTTTTGAGCCAAATATTTATAATAAAAACTCATATTTAAACAATTTTACAGTAACTGACTTAAGAAACTCATTTTACACAAATTAAAATTATTTCATTTACTGACAAACTGGCAAGTAATTAAGCATAGTCCCAAATATCAACTTACATAATTTATCAATAGATGGATTTTGTTTGTTTATAGTAACAGAGTTTTTTAAAGGGTGCAGTATTTTCTTCTATTTTGAGAAGTGTACGCTATGAAAAAGTCATCATGTCTTTGACATATCATAGCAATTACTTATTTTTGTAATCCATATTTTATACTTTATATTACTAACTTCCTTTGAAATTTAAAAAGATTCCTTTATGATACTTCATAAATTATATCACCTGTAAAATAACCAAAAATTAGAATACTCTAGAATTAGAATAATCTCATTTAATATACAATAAAAAAAGAAAACAAGAGACTTCTGGTCAAGATGGAGGTGTAGTTAGACACACTTCACCTCCTTGCGCAATCACAGAGAGAATTACAATTATTTCTTCAAACAAATAACAACCTGAACCATCAGAAAATAGAGCTGTATGGAAGTCTGACTACCAAGAATTTAAAGATCCCAAATTCATCCAGCCAGGTAGGAGGTGCGAAGTAGCAGAGATGGGTAGAGAGGTGGCAGCGGCTGTGGAACGGGCGGTCCCACATTCACATATGGTGGGCAAAATTGGGAGGGGTACCTTGGGAGCAATACTAGCCCCAGGCCAGACTGCACAGCCTAGGGTTCCAGCTCTGGGAAGATAAATCTCCATTAACTTCTGGCTGTAAAACCCAGTGACGGTTGGGGTGATTGTCGGATTTTCAGGAGAGTGCATTTAAAGGGCCCGCACAGACTCAAAACATACACAAACTCACCGGCTCTGCAAATTACCACCAGGGCAACGGCTGCAAGGGTACCAGTTGCAGACGGGAAGTAGGTGAAGGGACTGGAAATGGGGCAAGTGCCACCAAATCGCCAGAAGCCAGGCAGCAGCACTGTTCCCTCTCCGAGCCCTTCCGCCACACAGAGCCTCAAAGTGGTGAAGCAGGCTGTGCTCCCCGTCACAATTACCTAAGGTTCCACCCCACACAATTTGCAGGTACCTTCTGCAGAGTCAAAGCAGCTCTACCTAACACATAAAAACAAACACAGGGAGGCTGCCAAAATGAGGAGACAAAGAAATATGGCCCAAATGAAAGAACAGAACAAAACCCCAGAAAAAGAACTAAACAAAGCAGAGATAACCAACCTATCAGATGCAAAGTTCAAAATACTGGTGATCAGGATGATCAAAGAACTCACTGAGTACAATAAAAACATAAGAGAAGAAATGAAGGTTACACTAAGTGAAATAAAGAAAAATCTACAGGGAACCAACACTGGAGAGAATGAAGCTGAGAATCAAACAAACAATTTGGAATGCGAGGAAGGAAAAAGCATTCAATAAAAACAGCAAGAAGAAAAAAAGAATTTAAAAAATGAGGAGAGGCTTAGAAACCTTTGGGACAACTTTAAATGTACCAACATCTGCATCATAAGGGTGCCAGGAGGAGGAGAGGAAGAACAAGAAATTGAAAAATTATTTGAAAAAAAAAATGAAAGAAATCTTCCCTAATTTGGTGAAAGAAATAGAGATACAAGTCCAGGAAGCACAGAGAGTCCCAAACAAGTTGGCCCCAAAGAGGACCACAAGAAGACACATCATAATTAAAATGTCAAAGGTTAAAGATAGAGAATCTTAAAAGCAACAAGAGAAACACAGAGTTACCAATCAAGGAGTTCCCACAAGACTGTCAGCTGATTTCTCAAAAGAAACTTTGTGGGGTAGAAAGGACTGGTAAGAAGTATTCAAAGTGATGAAAAGCAAGGACCTACAACCTAGATTACTCTATCCAGCAAAGCTATCATTTAGAATGGAAGGGCAGGTAAAGTGCTTCCCAGACAAGGTAAAGCTAAAGAAGTTCATCATCACCAAGCCATTATTACATAAAATGGTAAAGGAACTGATTTAAGTAAAAGAAAGTCAAAACTACAAACATTAAAAGGGCAACAAAGGCACAGCTATCAACAACTGACTCTAAAAAAACAAACTAAACAAACAACCAGAAGAGGAATAGAATCATAGATATGGAGATCATTTGGAGGGTTATCAGCTGGGAGGGGAAAGGGGAAGAATAGGGGAAAAGGTACAAAAGGAATAGGGAATAAGAAGCATAATTGGCAGGTACAAAAATAGACAGCGGTATTTCAAAAACAGTATAGGAGAAGCCAAAGAACTTATATGCACAATCCATGGCCAGGAACTAAGGGATGGACTGCTGGGGGAAAGAGGGGTACTGGGCAGAGGGGGGACAAAGGAGGAAAAATTGAGACAACTGTATTAGCACAACCAATAAAATATATTTTAAAAAATAATGGGCAATAAAAATATATATACATATATATATATACTCCCTGTAGCGTGTGTGTACGTATATGTGCAGCATATAGCTGCATGTTTGTATATATGTATGTGTATGCATATGCACACACACACAGTTTCCTTACCCCTGAACTCATCTCCGTGCCTTTTGGCTGACTTTGTGGCTGCTTATGGTGTCCTGTCAGCAAACCTCCAGCAGTAAGGTTTGGAAAGGTCTGAAGATAAGCTTGTGACCCTGAGAAATTTCCTTCTGCTATTCCCACAGAGGCTGGCTGTTTCTCCTGAGTATTCCCGTGTCCTGGCCCAGCTTGTCCAGCAATGTGCTGATTTGGAAAGAACGGTAACATGCCCATTCCAGCTGTTAGAGTTGTTTGCGTTGGGATCAGATTAGATGCTAGAGTGAACAACAAACGCAAAAAACTTTTGGTTAGACAAGACTTATTCACAATAGCAATTTTCATTTTGCTAAAAACCTTTTCTTTTAAACCTGTTAAAGAACAGCCAAATTCAAAAGGTGAGGTCAAAGGTTGTAAATTAGCATGTTCCTGTATGGGAAAACAAAAGCTGGCAATAGTAATCATGCTTTTCTTAAGCAACTCCCAGAACAGTCTCGAGGATATCTTTTAATTCTGTTTTAATTGTAAGTTTTAATTTGGAGTACATATTTTTTAAAAAGATACAAATAAATAAACTTTAAGTTTATAAACACCAGATATTTCTTTTAAAAAAACACTAATAGTTTTTTTACCCAGGCAAAAATAAAATGAATGCATATGTAATGTGTTGTCAGCCCAGTGGGCGGCAGGCCAGTCTCAAATAGAGCTGTTTTCGCCTCATGCTGCTGTGAACCTGCATCAAATATTAAAGCACATCCAACAGGGAAAGTCTTACCTGGGCATGGAAGCAAGTTTATCAGTAACTTATCAATAGTTTTCTAATATTAAAAATAGAGAAGCCAAACAGGCACTTGAAATATTAAATGACTGAATAAAACTCAAATTTGACCTTCCTGTAAAAAGTAGAATACAAGTAAACTATCTTTACATCTGAAACCTGACTGATTACAGACTTCTCAGTAAATACGCATCGTTTACTTTTATGTGCTTCTCCATGGTGACCCAACTCTGTTTTCAAGGGAAGCGCCGACCCTATCCCCACTGCAGTCTGAAGTACCATAGCTGGGGCTTCTCCAAGCAAGCCTGGTTTCTGCCAAAGAAGAAAAGAAAGTTAGGTGTTTGCCAATGTCAGCAGGACATAACTGAATTAAAAGCCTACATAGGTGGAAATTCAATCTAACAGCCTGATTGTAGAGAAAAAAAAAAAATGAACTCATTCCATAAGAAAAGTCCATACTTACGTTATTAGTATGAATACTCTCAAACTTCATTAATTGCTGCTGTGCCAGTGGTACATGGGAAAGATTCTGAAGGAATAAACGAGAAGTATTACCCACAATTGAGCTCTGTGAAAAATGATAAAACATTAAGTTAGTTTAATTTTTAAAAGTTGCTCATTGTATAACCCAGTTCATATAGTTCAATTCTCTAGTTGATCTGAGCAAAACCAACAGCTCCTTTATATCTCACGTTTCAGCCTCAGACAGTGCTAATTAATTCTTGTAATAATATATAAGATGTGACCGTACAGCCATGAAATGAATTCCTCATTCTCTCCTTTTCTTTCATCCTTCCTCCCCTCCCTTTACACCTTTCTAGCTCTAATGTCAGCATCACGCAATCATTTATATCATCATTCCACAAAGACGGATTGAGCACTTTCTGTGTGCTAGGCCTGTACTACATAGTGAGAAATACAACTATATGATCTGCCTTCATGGATCTTATAGTCCCCTGAAGAAAGAAGGCACTAATTAACTATAAAAACATATAACTACAAGCAGTAATGAATACATGAAGGAGAACTATAAGGAGCTATGAAAACAAATAGTGGGGGAAGTGACTGAGATTGTTGAATTCAAAGTTTTTCCTGCGGGACTAACTATCATGCAAAGATCTGAAGGATGCAGAAAAACAGCGAGGTGAAATGTGGGGGAATTAGGTGCTCCTGGAGCAGGGAGCGTTCAGGCAGAAGGAATAGGAGGAGCAAAGACCTAAGCAGAAGGGAACAAGGCCCTCTGAGGACCAAAGCAGGCCGCTGTAGCTGAGACAGCGATGCCCAATGAGCACATGGTAGGCAGGTGAACGCAGGCTGGATCGGCCTTCAAGGCACAATTAAGCATTTTGATCTTTATGCTAAAATAGAGTATCGTCAAAACTCTGAAGCCCTTCTTCCATCATTCTTCACACCCTAAAGTAATTAGTTATTTAATGTTTGTTTTCTCTGTTCGCTGAAATTCTCTAAGGACAGGGACGATGAAGGTTTGTTCAGTGCTATAGACTCAATGATTAGCAGAGTGTTTCTAGTACATGTTAGATTCTAAATAAAATAGGTTGAGTAAAGGAACGAGCAAGGCCCTATAATGTATAAGGTCCTCTGCTAGATGCTAAGAATGAAATACAAAGGATAGGCCTTTCCCTTAAAAAGCTAGGTTTAGAACCAGACATTCATCCACCCAATATGCAGTCATCTATATGTATTGAGTTTGATTTATAATTAGGGTCCTGTACGAAGACAGCCTTAACGCTATCTGAAATTAATGTTCCTCTCCAATATTATATTTACATACACAAACATATTTTAAAATACTTATCCAAAAAAGGTAAAACCAATTTTTACTCTCTCAAATATGAATTTTTTCACATCAACTACATTTTAAGAATAAGAGTTACTGTTCAATCATTTATTCATTCTTCCTTTCCGTAAACACTTTTTTTGAGTTAAGACAACGTCAGAGGACTTGTTTTGAAGTCCAGTCATGCACCACATAACAACGTTTTGGTCAGTGACGGCCCGAATCCATGGCGGGGGCAGGAAATAAAAGCTCCACCCATGTTGCCGCCCCTCCAGACCTTCCAGTTGGACAAGATGTGGAGGCAAAAGACAGATACTGATTATCCTGAGGCTAATGTGTATGTGTCTCGGTGTTTAACAAAAAAGTTTAAAAATTAAAAATAATATGATTTTTAAAATAGGAAAAAAGCTTATAGAATAAGGATGTAAAGAAAGGAAGTATTTTTGTATAGATGTACAATCTGTGTTTTAAGCTAAATGTTATTACAAGAGTTGGAAAGTTAAAAAAATTAAGTTTATAAAGTAAAAAAGTTATAGTTAGCTAAGGTTTACTCATTATTGAAGAAACAAAAGTATTTTTTATAAACTTACTGTAGCCTAAGTGCACAGTGTTTATAAAGACTGCACTTAGTGTACAGTAATGTCCGAGGCCTTTACATTCACTCATCCCTCACTCGCTGATTCACCCAGAACAACGTCCAATCCTCCAAGTGCCCTACCATTTTTTATCATTTATACTGTATTTTTACTGTGCCTTTACTATGTTTAGATGCATAAGCACTTACCACTCTGTTACATTGCCTACAGTATTCAGTATAGTAACATGCTATACAGGTTTGTAGCCTAGGCGCAATAGGCTATACCTATAAACCTAGATAAGTAGAGGGCTCTGTGATCTAGGTTTGTGTAAGTTTACTCTATGAGCTCACACATGATGAAATCACTAACTATTAATCTCTCAGAACCAATCCCTATTGTTAATCAATACATGACTGTACTGATTTACAGAAAAATATACCACAAAAATACACCTTTTCCCTTCTCAATGTGCTACAAATAATAATCTAAGTACATATAACTATGTTGCTTTGATTACCTTTATCTGATGTACTCATTAAGTTATGCTTTTACGTAGCTATAATTACGACTAAAGACTTTTATTTTTAAATACTCATTTAACTTCTTGAGGGTTTTACTTGTTAGGAACAAACAAAATATTCACTCCAAATTTTTGATGCTTCAATACTCAATGCTATTTATATACCTGATGTGCTTTATTCAAATGTAAAAATGCAGGGGAGATGGATGGACTCATCAGATGTGGCAAGCTGTGAGGTGTTCCAAGAACTGCTTTAAGGAAATAAAAGTAAAAATTTAACTTTATGATAGATATGGAACTTAAAAATAAATAAAACAAACTTCAAAAAGGATAAATGAATATTTCTTTAAACTTTTAACAAATTATTTGGCTGTTCATTTATATACTGACCTTGTTATTGCACAGAAAGTGACGGGATTCTTTCCTTGTGAGTCAACCCTAGAATTGTATTTGAAATTCCCATACCTTCTGTCATAAATGGTGAACCTGTGTTATTTGCTCACTGTTTTTGTTAGGTTTTAGAGGTATTCTGGCAAGGAGTGGGGGATGGGAGGCAAGGACTTAATACAATCCTGTCCTTAAAAAGCTTACAATCCTATTGCAAAGAGAATATACATACATAAAAAATATTTACTTAATATAAACAACAGCACTGTACATAGTTGATAAAAGGAATAAATGGTAACCATACTCTTTATCAAGTCTAAGAGCACAAATATGAGTACTTATCAGGAGATGATTTTTCAGAATGAACAATATAGAGACAGAAAGAACCATTATAAATATATGACGCAATTTCATATTATTATAATAAAGTAACTGGACGTAGTCATAATATACACTTTCCTAGGAATATAATAATTACAACCAATGGAAATCAGACATAGAAAGCACTTCAAAAAGCATGTAATTCAGTGATCGAAAATATCTGAAATTTATATATAACGTCCCTACAAGTTCATCCCATGCTTAAAACCTTATTGCAAGTTTTTATTACTTGCTGAGGCAGTCTATTGCTTGCCTGGAAAACTGATCACTAGAAAGCGCTCTCTAGAATGAGCCAGTTTCACTACTGGTGGTAGGAAGATTAGATCACTAAGACAAGTTGCTTATAAAGAAAGATACTGTTTATTAGGAAAGAGGAGTAGAGATGGTCATTTCATAATGATAAAGAGGTCAATTCATCAAGAGGATGCAACAAACTTAAATGTCCTTGCAACAAGTAATACAGGTTCAAAATATATAAAGCAAAAATTTCTAGAACTGAACGGAAATGTGGGCAATAACAAAATTACAGTTAGAAATTTCAAAAGTACTTCCTCTTTTTTCTCAGTCACTGAATTATATTATACATTAAAATATATTTCACAGCCTTTAGTGACTACAGTATTTCTCAGTTTAAAACAACTAAAATCAAAACACTGAAAATGTCCACATCTAGCTACTCTTACCCTTAGCTCTTGGAGAGGTCTTCTACTACATTCCATCCTTCCCTCATAATAATTAATTTTGACAGAAAATTAGTAAGGATATAAAAGACTTGAACAGCACTACCAACCAACAATATTCACAAAGGATTATAGTACATCATGACCAAGTGAGATTTACCCTAGGAATGAAATGTTGGTTTAATATTCAAAAATCAATCAATGTAATTCATCATGTTAACAGATGGGGAGAAAAACAAACTACCTAAACCCAAAAAACCCACACATATGATAATTTCCATAAGTGGAGAAAAGCAATAGATAAATTCCAGCCATTACCATGATATAATTTTTCAGCAATAGAGGAATAGAAGGGTAAGTTTCCAGCTGGGAAAAGAAAATCTGTGAAAAAAAAACATAGCTTAGATAATACCTAATTGTTAAAAACATGTTTTTTCATAAGATGAGGGACAAAGCGAGAATGTCCACTCTCACTAGTTCAATGCATAAATTATGCTGAAATTTCTACCTATTACATTAAAGCAAGAAAAAAATAAAATATATGCATATTGGAAGGGAAGAAGTAAAATTGTGTCAATTTTAGATGACATGACTGTCCATAGAGAAAATCCTAAGGATAAAAATGTACTAGAAATAAAAAGCAAGGTTGCAAGATACAAGATAAATATACAAAATTAACTGTACTTGCAGCATATGACAGCAACAAGAAAAAAGAAATTGAAGTTTAAAAAGCAATCTTATTTCAAATAGCATCAAAAACTATAAAATATTATGGATTAAATCTGACAAAATAGGTATGAGATTTGTGCCCTGAAAACAACAAAATATTTCTGAGAGAAATTAAAGAAGAGCTAAATAACTTCAGAGATATATATCATATTTATGACTTGCCTTCAAAATTGTCAGTTCTGCCCAGATTAGTATAGAGATTCAACTCAATATCAATCAAACTTCCAGCAGATATTTTTCACAGAAATTGACAGGCTATTCTGAAATTTACAAGCAAATGCAAAGGATCTAGAGTGGCAAAACAAATTGAAAAAGAATAAAGTTGGAGGACTTTCTTAAACTGATTTTAGGGCTTATTATTATAAAGCTACATTTATCGAGACAATGTATTATTTGTATAAAGACAGACATTTAGATCAGTGCAATAGAATACAGTGTTATAGTCCAGAGGTAGAGACCTACATATACAGTCAATTGATTTTTGAAAAAGGTGTCAAGAAATTCAGGGGAAAAGGATAATCTTTTTAAACAAACAATGATGAAATAAATGTAAATAAAATTAACCTGGATGTTTATCTCACACCATAAATAAAAATTAACTCAAAGTGGATCATAGATCTAAAGGTAAGAGGTAAAATTATAAAACTTCTTGAAGAAAAGATAGGCTATTTTAGTGACCTTGAATTTGGCAGATGTTGAATATGACACAAGAAGGACAAACTATAAAATGAAAAATAATACATTGAACTTTGTCAAAATAATAAATTTTGCTCCTCAAGAGACATTGGTAAGAAAATAGGACAATCTACAGCATAGAGAAAAATACTTGCAAACCCATGTATCCAAGAGAGAACTTGTATCTAGAATCAAGAACTCTTACAACTTAATAAGAGGTTGTCAATTTTTTATATATGCAAAGTGTTAAAAAGATATAGTAACTAAGAATATATAAAGATGGCAAATTAGCACATTAAAAGATGTTCAAAATCGTTAGTCAAAAAGGATATTCAAATTAAAACGGCAATGAAATGGCACTATACACCCAAAAGAAGGGCTAAAATTAAAGGACCAACATATCAGATGTTAGCGAGGATACTTAGTAAACTGGAGTCCAGGACACTGATGATGAGAATGGAAAACAGAGAGGAGAGTTTCTTATGACTTAAGCATATAACTACCATGTTCCTCTACCATGTCCCATGTACCATGTCCCATGTTCCATCTACCATGTCCCATGTACCAGACCTAGCCATTCTGCAACTATGTATTTACCAAAGCAAAATAAAAGTATAAATCTATATTAAAGACTGGTACATGAATGTTCATAAAGTGTACAAATTTCATTTGCAATGACCTAAACCTGAAAATAACCTAAATGTTTATTAACAAGTCAATGAAAATGCAAACCATGGCATGGAATACTTACTACTCAGCATTAGAAAGGAAAAAAAAAAAACTATTGATAGATGCAGCTAAATATGTATAAGTCTCAAAATAATAGGCTGAGTAAAAGAAGCCAAACTGTACATACTATGTGATTTCATTTATATAAATTTCTGTAAAATGCAAACTATAGTGACAGAGAATAAATTAGTAGTTTCCGGGACGAAGGAGGGGTGAATTAAAACGGGGTAAAAGGAAACTTTTGAGAATGAATTATGTTCATTATTTTGATGGCGCTGTTGACTTCATTGGTGTATACATGTGTCGAAACTTATCAGTTGTACAGTGTAAATATGTGCAGATTAATGTGCATCAATTATACCTCAATAAAGCTGTTAAAAATATGATTTAGACTGTAATTACATATTAAAATACAAAGTGGGGCAAAAGTAGGTTTACAGTTGTTCATATGGAAAATAATACAGTAATTAATAAAAAGTAATATAAGAACTGTGCTTTGCATATTCACAACTGTAAGCCTACTTTTGCCCCGCCCTGTGTGTCACACACACACATATATAAAGAAGGAAATCTAAAATATTATTGTATATATTTTTAAAGTATTTAAAAGGTCTGAATTGAAGAGAAAAAAATAACAGTATGGTCAGAATAACAATCAGTACAGGTCCGGGAGGAAAATCAATCGGATGGCAGCATGTAGATTAAATCTGACAGGAACGGCAGACAAGAAGAGAAGCTAGGAGTTTACAGCTTGGACCATATGTGAGTGACAAGGTATGTGCAAGCTGTGAGCTGAGATGTAAAGAAAGGGGTTCAATCAGTAAACAAATATTTAAATAATTTTCACTATAAATAACAGTCTGTTCTAGGTGCTTGGGATCAACAAGACAGGTACATCTTTGCCATTAGGGAACTTCTGTTCTAGTAGAAGAGATAGACATAAACAAGTAAATATGTGTCAGTTACCTGAAAAATGAGGAGGTAGTTGGGCAAGGGTATAGGTATAAATATATTTGAATATATATTTAATTATATGTATAAATATATTTTATATATAACATGATTATAAAGAATTTTGATTCTTTTTCTTAGTTTTCTCAGAGGCCTCTGTGAGGGCTACAGTTAAGATATAGTAAAGGACATAATAAAGTAAAAACAAACGAAACCTGCTGATTAACAAGTGTGGACGAAAAAGGGGCCACACTAAACCTGACAAGCTCAGGGGAGGCCTGCCTGGTGGGACATACAACCTCAGAAACCGAAGGAAACCGTATCAGATGGTCTGAAATTAAAACTTTCTAACTAAAAGCGAGTCATGGAGGACAGTGAAGTCCTAGGCTACTATCTTCCCTGACAAAGGTGAATCTCTATCTTAAATGAGCCTGTCTATTGTCTGCATCTACAATAAGGTGCCTTTGGAATGTCAGGGTGATTGCCCCCTTCCCAGCCACTCGGCGCCACAGTGACCGCAAAACCCCTCCTTGTTATTGTTATCATGTTAATTAACTTTTAACAATCCTATACCCACAAATGTAAAAGAAATATGTGTCTATTTGTTTTACTTTTTATCCAATCCCAGAGGTTTCCCCACTTTGTTTTCTCGTGACCCCATAATCGATCACCAATGGATTTCCTGTAACCCTTACACTTCCTCTTTCTATTATAATGTATAAAAAATGTGCAAAACTACCATTCTCTGGAGAATTTTCTAAATCCGTTGAGATTTTTCTTCCCAGCAACTGTCATCAATTTGGCTCAAATAAACTCATAAAAATTCTCAACAGGTTTAAATGTTTCTTGACACAAGACACTTTGTCTTTCCTGAATACCAAAAAACTTTTCATACGTTCTCCAGAAGTCTGGCCTGTGTTCAAGTGAGGCAGATTTAATCCTCTTCCCTTGCCATTCCACACAAAGAAAAAGCCATGCTTAGTAAAATAATTTCTCCACCAGTGTAATATTTAAAACATCTTGCCTAAAATTGTGTAGCACTAAAACAAAGAAGCATAATCTTATGTCCATATATGTGTCTGAGAATAAAGGAGAATACATATTCTTAGATAAAAAGAAAAGACAAAAATAATTTCGGAGAGGAGTTCCTAAAGATAGCTCAGAGTCCAAAGGATTGGACAATACTTTCTACAACACCCAAGAGCGTGATATACTTTTAACGCTAATACGATCTTGGAACACATTAACAGAAATCAGCATAGTAAGGAAACCCCACGGCACGTTGTGCCGCTCAGACCCCATCTACAGGATACGTCCATGTCTGTGTGCACCTTGTTTCAGGGCAGCCCTGACCGCCTGTGCCTTCTCTGCGAGAGGACAGCGAGTGGAGGGGATCCAGAGAGCATATCCTGACACGTTATGGAAAGTCAAATAGAGAACTGCAGTCTCCAAAGAGAGGTAAGAGGTGTAAAAAGAAAATATGAGAACTGTTATTTATAGTTTCATATTAAAAATACAATTATTAAGCTTTAACATTTCTTCCTATTTGGGCTGACAAAAGTGCACTCATATAACTGACATGTAAGTGATACATATGCTGTATATATTGGAGTTCTGCTCTAAATTTATTTCACTAATAGGGTTGCAGAGTCAAAAAATAAATAAATAAAAGGAGGCCCCTAGTCTGGAGAATAGGAGACAGGAAAAACCAAAGATAACTGAGATTTCAAGTTAGTTACCTTCAAATATTAAAGCTTTTCTTAGAGAAGAAGCAAAAGATTTATTCTGTGTTTCTTCAAAGGAAGAACTAGAATAAGTGGCTAAAGATTATGGGAATTACTATCTAATATAAAGAAAAACCTTCTAGTAATTAAATTTGTCAAACGAGGGAATAGGCTGCCTTGGGAAATAATGAGCTTCTTAGGCTTCAATTAGCCAAGACATAACAAGGCTATCTCTACAGCATTAAAATTGTAAAAGAGATATCTGATTGCATAATAGACTGAGCCAGAAAAACCTCTAAAGCTGCTTCTTACACACAAATAATTGATGAGAATATGAAGTACTTAATGTGAATATTGTTGTAGGATGAAGAATTAACAGGTCCTTGTGCCTGTTTCCTCAGAGGAAAACTAAATCTTTGGAATTTCCCCAGTGACAAGGGTATCTTTGTTATGCTAATTAGGTGAGTCCAGGTGGGCCCCTAAATAGCTTCAGAATGGGGGCTGGTCACACCAGAAAAACCAACCAGGCGATTACAGGACTGGGGCTTTAAGCCACATGGTATCAGCCAGACCTCCTGACCTCCAGAGAAAAGAGGAGGACTGAAGATTGAGTTCAATATTATGGACAAATATTATGCTTACAAAATGAAATCCCAATAAAAATTCTGTGATGGGGGAATTCAAGAGTGGGAAAATTATAGTTTCAGGTAATGGTTAATAAGCCTAGCAGTTAAAGCATGTGAAAAGCTATGGTTTCAGGAACTCCAAGTATGGCCCACCCTGACTCCAGGAGACCAGGAGCCATTTGAGCTTTGTACTCCAGAAGAGACCATAAGCAATCAAGGTGGTATCTGAGCCCTTGTGTTCCAGGGAGAGACAATCTGCAGCCCAGGACACAGGACACCAATAAAGAAAATCACTGGTCAGCAGATGAAAGGATGTAAGGGAAATTGCTGGACTGCAGCTTTTATCAGATTAACCTCTTTCCTGAATTCCAAATCCCTTACCTACACTTCTTCCTTTTTATAAAAAAGGCTGGCTTGAAAGGCAATGGAAGACAGTCTGTTAGGATACAAACCCATCATATTCTCAGCTGCCGGCCATCTGAATAAAGCACCCATGAAGATTCAATCCCTGCCTCTGTTTATTGGGCCTGGCCGGTGACAAGCAGCATGAACGCCGGCTTCTCCGGTTTCATCTGGACGTCAAATTTAGTTCAGTAGAGATCCCTGGCTGGTTAACAGATTAATGTGCTGGGAGGGTAATGTGCCCTGAAGTCCATAAAAGCTGTGTTCATGGCTATCGCAGACCTAGCCCTAGGTGTCTCTTCATTTGGTAGTTTCTGAGATGTATCCTTCAAGATAAGACTAATCATAAGTATAGTGTGCTCCTAAGTTCTGTGAGTTGTTCTAGTAATTTATCAAACCTGAGGGGATCACAGGAACCCCCAAATTTGTAGCCAGTTCCTGAAGACCCCTTGAATTTGTGGCTAGTGTGTGAAGTAGAAGCAGATGTGTTGGGAACTAAGCCCTTAACTTATAGGATCTAGGCTAACTCTGGGTAGGTAGGTAGTGGTAAAAATGAACTGTAGTCCACTAGTTGGTGTTAGACCAGTTAGAGTTGAAACTGAATAAACATACTCTAAATATTTTTACTCTAAAACTTAGTGTTGAATATAGGAATTCATTTCCTTATAATGCTGAAATATACATTTTGTGTATGTTCATTCAGTTGTTCATTTCAGAAGGTAAGCAAGCTCACCTTCTCATCAGAGAAAGAACACTAAATAGGTAGATATTTAATGTATACCATAATGATTTAAGATTTCCATAATATTAGAAATAATGCTTTTGCCATTTTCTACAAAATAAAACAATTTTACAACAAAGAAATTTTACAACAAAGAGCAAAAAGGAAACACACCTTCAGCAGTTTTCAATAGAGTAGTTTTGCTAAAAATATTAGGGAGAGTATCCAATTCTTTGTTGGTATAGTCCCTAACAATGTAGTGTGTTAATTATTATCTGGTCTATAAATTCATGTCAACTGGGAGCTAAACTAAAGTTTAATATTTAACATTTGTTAATGGTAAAAAAAAAAAAAAAGTAGGAACACATAAGCAGATTGTACCTACCAAAAAGAGCCAAAACATATTATCAACTCAGATCATTAACTCACATTCATTGAAAAGGCCTAGAAAATTAATATTTTTGGACTAATTTCAATGCAGTTTTTTTCCACATAAAACAGCACAGTGAACTTCATGCAAACATTCTATATTTAATCAGTGCGCATGGTGCTTACCTGGTTTAACAGCTCGCCCACAGAGTTGGGGCTGTAGAAGAACTTGTAACATAGCAGGGTTGTTTAAACTCTTCATAATTTGTGCAGGATTTGGCTCAGGAAGTAAGCCCTTTTGATTACTGTGCATCTTCAATGAATAAAGAAATAGGAAACATTAGAACAAGGATAAGCACATAAGATGAAATTTTAAAGATTTTCTTCCAGAAATTCTCACTTATCTGGTAAGACCTATTTTATGATAAACACAATTTGCTTTGTATTGTATTATATTGTACATTTTTTGTGTGAGGTTGCCTCTCGCACACCTCCTACTGGGGAATAGGCCTGCAACCTAGGCATGTGCCCTGACTGGGAATCTAGTTGGTGACCATTTGGTTCACAGGCTGGCACTCAATCCAGTGAGCCACACCAGCCAGGGCATATTGTACATTTGTTGTATGCATTTGACCATAGTTCCCTATTATGCTGATATTCTACTAAACAGCATATACTAAAATCCTCATAGAATGTCTCAGTTGAATACAAATTGGCTTGGAGAAGACTAACAATTTAGTAAGATAAATCTCTTTGTACAAGCAGAAAGATGCCAAGGAGATCTAAATTTATTAACAGGAAGGTAACGACACAATATTAATATTTTGATATCACAGAGAGCCTTACTATAATGTTGATCTAAAGTGTAATAATGTCAGTTGCCTTGCAGATCAAAATTTTCTTATAATAAAGGTCTTAATTTCATTTCTTAATCCTCTGATACAAAAAAAAAGATGTACTGGCCTTATATATATATGCAATTGGGTAGCTTCCTAAAAATATGAAATTGTTCGAGGTTTTATAAGACAGTATGATAGATGAGGATATTAGTATAAGGTTACAAAAGGAAAACTATAAACTGCCAGCCAGGGAAAAAATGGAGAACTGACAATGACATCTGGAATCCCTCTACAAACCCTTAAAAAAAATAACAGATTTTTATTGGTAACATGAAGCAACAACAAGTAGTTACAAAGAATAACCAAGTAGAAGTAACGGGTACTAAAAAAAATAATGGAGAAAAAAATAGCAACTCTCCCTTAACTGTCTACTTGGCATTATTCTAAGCATTTTCCATGGATTATATCACTCAATCCTGCAAAAGAACTCCACAGAGCTGGTATTACAAGATGAGGAAAGCAAAGAAATTCATAAAGCATTATTCTTAACCTCTGTACTGTGCTGTAACAGATAGGTTAATGAGTTAAAAAGAATACATGTGACTGAAAAACCAAAGAGTGATCTGAAAGTTCAGTTCAAAGAAAGCTCCCAGAAGACATCAGCAAAGGAAAAATAGGGGAAAATGCAAACAGGCAAGACAAACCATAGAAATGGAAAATGCAAACAAAACAAAAGAGAAAAAAAGAGCAAGGGTAGAGGTGCCAACCTATATAAAACAGGCATCCCTAAAGAAGAAACCAAAAAAAGAAATCTTTGAAGATATAATTTTCATGATGATATAAATTGCTGAGAATTTCCCATCAATTAAAAAAAATTAAAGACCACAGAAAGAAAGGGTTTATAGTATTCCAAATATGAGGTATAAGGAGAAAACAGGTCTAGTTACGTTTTTGTGTGTGTAAAATTTAAGAATAAAGCTATAACAAAAATGCTAAAAGCTTCCAGCGAGAAAGAACATTACCTCCAAAGGCGCAACAAGCAGATTAATATCACCTTCTCTCTCAAAGCATCAGCACTGAATTCAAGAAGATAAAGAATTAATATTTTCGAAGTGCTGCAGGAAAATATATTTGAATCTAGATTTTTATATCCAGCTAAGCTATTACTTAAATATGCGAATGAAATAAAAATATTCCCAATATACAAATGTTTAAGTTTTAGCACGAGTACCCTCTCTGAAAATGAGAACCAAGAAACAGTATATGCAAGACATTGCATGATGCATGGAAATTAAGGGAGGTAATATCAGCAGTAACTTCAATCTTGCATACAAAAGCCAGGACCATAAAAACAAAACAAAAAATAAATGCACTGAGCGTTTACTGACAGAATAAAGAGAAAGCAACAACTATACACAAAAAAATCTAATACATTACTCTGACACTGATGGATTAAACAGACAAAAATGAGTAAAGATATGGAAGATTTGAGTAACAATAAACTCAAACAAACATTTGTACACACACGTGTACACAAAATTTTATAACCTACAACATAAAGTACATACTGTTTTGAGGCCTACATGGCACATTCGCAGAAATCCATCCTGCACCGAGCCACAAAAGAAGCCACAATATCCCCTTTCCACAAATCAGCATTGGAGACTATATTCTCTGATCACAATGCAATAAAGGTAGAAATTTATACCAGAAGAATAGTTTTTAAAAATTCCTAAGTGGTTATAAACTGAAAAACAACAACAAAAACTAATTAAGCTTTTAGTTGAAAAGCAAATCATAAAAATTTGAGACATCAGTAATCTAAAAATTTATGATACATAGATATAGCATCAGTTAAAAGGAAACTTGTTCTAAATTCATCAGAAATCATCTAGACTGAAAACAAAGGCACTAAGCATTGATATCAATAAAGACGAAGCAGAAAGAGTAAACCTAAAGAAACAAAAACATTAGAGAGATTAGGGCACAAATATGCAAAAGATAGAAATAATTAACAAAACAAAAACTGTTTCTTTGACATGATAAAACAGAGAAATAGAGGAATCTCTTACAAGATGTATCAAGGAGAAAAAAGAAAATACAATACACAAAGAAAACAAGGTGAATAGACATACAAGCTTTAAAAATAGTAATATAACCACGGGCCAATAAATTAGAAAACAGACAAAATGGATAAATTTGTAGACTAAAATTACTATAAATAAAATTATTTATACAAGTTTACCCATAAATAAAAAGAAAACAGGGAACATCAACAATATTTAAATCAGTAAATGAGATCAGTGTTCTACTGATTCCAAAATTAAGAATGGTACAAAAAATTTTAAGTACTTTTCACTTATGGACACATTTGCACATATACCAAATAAAAATGACCTAATCTATGCATTGAAAAAAATCATTATCAAATAAAATTTATCACACAATGACAGCTTAACATTAGAAAATCTATCAGTGTGATTCAGCACATTAATATTTAGGGAGAAATCATGTCCTGGCTGGTGTGGCTCAGTGGAATGAGTGCCGGCCTACGAACCAACAGGTCCCAGTCAGGGTATGTTGGCCTGGGCTGTGGGCCAGGTCCCCAGCTGAGGGTGTGCAAGAGGCAACCGGTCGATGTATCTCTCACACATCGATGTTTCTTTCCCCCACTTTCTCCCTCCCTTCCCATCTCTCTCAAAATAAATAAATGAAATCTTTTTTAAAAATTTAGGGAGAAATCACGATTATCTCTATAGTTGTAGAACTACCCTGATAAAGTTTAGTTAACAATCCATCATTTTTAAATCACAGAAAACCTGATAAAGGATATGTACCAAGAACCTATAGAAAACACCAATGTAAAACATTACTTTTGAGACTGAAACAATTTAAGATTTCTTACTACCATTGATATCTGGTCATGAAGGGCCCTGTATGTCATGCTAAGGAACCTGAACTTATGCAGGCATTAAAGAATATTAAGCAAGAGGAGGACATCATCCGATTTGAGGATGAGAGACCACTCCGTGGCACTGTAAGATGGACCACGGGGCCCGACTAGTGCCGTGGTGCTCACGCAGGAGTTATTCCAGTCATCAAGGCGAGAAAAGGTGAGATCCCGAGTGAAGTAACAAAGATGCTAACAAGTCTCAGGGATTTAAGAGACATCAGGAGGTGCAACTGAAAGGATTTGTTAATATTTCTGACATTCATATTTAGGGAGTTGGTAAGTAAGACCAATCATGGTTAACTAAGATTTTGATTCAGATAGTTTTAGTCTGGATGAACCGATGCTATATACAGATATCACAAAACACAGAAAAAAGCAAGTCCCAGAGAAACACAAGTGCTTTGGGTGGCGGGGGCGGGGGGAGTATGTTGAAATTGACCTATTTATGTAATATAAAAGTGGGATGTCTAATAATCACCTGGATATACAGATTTAGTGCTTAGAGTAGTTTGGTCCAAAAATTTATGCTTGAAAGTAATCAAGGATAGGCAATAACTAAAGCCACTGGAGTATTTAAAATGAAAAAAAGTGAGGTCAGCTAATGAAGTTTACTGACGTCAGCCCTTAGAGAAAAAGACCGAGAAAGGGGGTGCAACAGAATTCAAGGTAACAGAGGGTTTCAAGTATTGCAAAGAGGCCGAGCAATGATGGCTGAAAAGCACCTATGTGACCTGAATATTAAGAAATCCCTGTTAATCTTCCATGAGAACAACTTGAAAGATTTTGTTCCACCTAGGATTTGACCACTCTCTCTCTTAGAGTTGCCAGATTTAGCAAGTAAAAATACAGGATGCCCAGTTAAATCTGGGTTTCAGATAAGCACTGAACAGCTTTTTAATATAAGTATGTCTCATGCAAAAGTTGTATTTACCTGGCGATCCTATCCTCCATCCCCATCAACACAGTTTGGTTTCATATTTTAACGTCACACTCGAATGTTACCTTCGTCATGAAGTCTTCCCTTGCTCCCTTCAAAAGTGTATTCCTTCCTTTCTTCAACCAACAAATACTTACTATACTAAGTGCTAGGAGTAAGAACCATGAAGGAAGAATCCATCTGCATGGAACTTCCAAACTGGAGAAGTAGAGGATTAAGGAGACAGTTACAACAGAGAAGTAGCTGCAATGTGTCATATGAGTAAAAATGAGGCACACACTTATGAACAGTTTGGGAAAAGAGAGGCATGCTACACTCAAAATTTAGAGCAGAAGAAGAATTCAAATATTTGTTGAATGAATGAAATTCCTTCAAAAACTTTCCTAAGATGAATATACTTGACAAAACACAATTTCTTCTTTTGTAATGACTCTTGGCTTGATTTGACAGAGATGTCATTTATTGATTTTTTAAAAAGAAGAATGTCTTTATGTGGCACAAAGATAATGAAGGTCCAATCAATGATAATTAGGTTGGACAGATTGAAAAAGTATTAGAATTTCTTACATGCTAATAAAGAACAACAAACTCACCACACGTTGAGCTGCTATCAATGCTGCTAATGTGCTCCGTCCCGGTGCTCCGGGGGCGCAGAAGGAAACTTGGACTTTGCTTCCCTTGATGGTCACACCATCCGCTGCCTGCTGGACCTCCTCAGCATGCTCGGCCGTGTGATACTCCACCACCGCAAAGCCACCCGCGCAACTTCCTTCATCCTGTGCAAGCTGATGTAACGCATTTAATTAAAAGGGAATTCTATTATTGAGCTCGGAATAGTTATTTACAGTATATAATTTTCCAATTCAAGAACAAATGTATCAGAGCATGATATTGGTGAAAATACAGTGTTCATTCTAAAAATAAATGTACTAGTTGCTTAGAGGCAATCCTTTCTAAAAGGCGGGATGAAAAACAAGATCCTGTCATTTCTTTTGAATTCTTTGATCTTCTAATTTATTTAAAAGAAAAAGCCCAAAAGAAAATACACCCTACATATTAAAAATATGTAATTGATAACTTATAGGACGCTATGAGGACACAGTAATGGAAACTTTCTTTAAAATAAGTTCCACAGATACATGGACAATGAGACAAAATGAAACAATTATTTGACCACATATCAATGTAAAATAAAGTTTGTACTATCAAGGGAAGAGAGGTAGGAGGAACCATATTCAACTTTTATTTCAATATTTTAGGTAGATCCAAGATATTTGGTCACATACACCAACGCAAACCTTATTTGGAAAAACTATGCCCCAGTTTTATTAAAATACCATGTGCAACATACAGTCTTTATTTCTGAATGTGCCTTAAAGAAACCCCTAAGTGTAGAACTCGATTTATTTCCAGTCACCCACCTGTAGGAGTGTAAAGAAGATACTAAAGTCCTGGATCTGTAAAGACTGGTACAAAAGCAAAAACAAGAGCAAAATAAGACACTAAAAAGTTTCTAAGTTTTTAATTTGTCTGAATTAATTTAAACACATTCACACTAGAAAGTGATAAATGAGATAAAATTTAGCTTGCTTTGTCTTTGAGAAGACACACGAACAATCCTTCTATTTGGACTTGGCACCTTATAAGTTAATATTACAATTAAATAATTTCTAGTTTCTTTTCTCTTATTTTTGAAGCTTAACTTCTACTCTCTTGTATAGTAGATCAGATTTCAATTTTTCCTTCATATTTTTCCTTCCTTTTAAAACTGTCCTCATATGTCTTTTTCCATAAAACTTCTTCCCAGTCACATGGGAGAAAGGGAAAATATCTACCTCCTCCAAATGCTACTCCTACAGCCCCATTCCTTTATACTCCAAACCAGATCTTAAAATCAGATTTGTAAAAGCCATTAGTCTCTTTGGTCTCATTGGATTACAAGGTAAGAGACTGTGTCTTCAACGTAGCCTGTGTCAACCTACCAAGCAAAAGAGCCCGAATTTAATAGATCCACTGATAAAGGCATCATAAAGTTGTTTTCATTAATCTTATAAAAACTTTAAAAACATTTTTTATTATTCCTGGTTCATTATGGTAACCTTCATGCCTATATAACTTACAATACTATTTTAAGTCTTTCCAAAGACAAAATACGATCGAAGTCCATAGCATAGGCAGTTTTAGAGGGGAATTATTTCAGTTCAACGTGAGAGCCATTCAGTTATATAAATGGTCTGACTTGTGATCTGCTTTAAAATTTCCTCTTTATGACTAATTGTAAGCAATTTGATTACAATGTGCCTTGTTGTTTTCTTTGTGCTTTTGTGCTTGGGGTTGGGTAAGTGTTGCAGATCTCTGGGTGTAGAGTTTTCATCAAATTTGGTTGAAATATTTTAACAAAAGCTTAATGGTCATGAGCAAATACTGTAACAAACATTTTTTTTTCCTATGAGATGATACCCTTCAACTCAGAGATGCATAATTCAAATAAAATTTGTGATAAATGGCTTTTTTCTCATTTGTTTCAAAGCCCTTAAGTTAAAAAGAATTATGTATGGCCACAGAATACCACTATACATTTTTTTGCATCAAGAATAGCAAATCAATAAGACAACTTTTAATAACTGGTCAGGGATTTTATTAAAAATTTGTTACAAAATTTTATAAAGCTCTTGGGTGGTTTCTTTGATGCTTACTATATAGGGATTGGAGGGATGGAAATTTAAGACAAATAAGATGGTAGCATTAAACATATATTTGTTTTGTGTGGGTATATATATACGTGTGTGTATGCATGTATTTACGTATCTATATGATTATACATCTGACTCCAAGCTTCCTATTACAATTGTAGACTCAGCAAATGTATGATTAAAGAAAAAGGGATGGACAGGCAAGGTAAGAAAAAAAGGGATGAGAGAAAATTCATCAGTTGCTCTCCTATGTCTCTAAGGAAAAAAGTTATATGTAGTATGCACTTTTGTCTAGTTAGTCAAATATATTTAATTATACTGTGATAAGGAGCTTGAAAATTTTTACCATTGCTGTCAGTTTTCAGGATCTTTTCTAAATGTTTCACTTACCGTGACCCCATTAAGACAAAATTATATGTTCTCTTTAAAACTCATTATACTTTTCTATCTTCCATTATATCACTTTTCATACAGGATTTATGATTAGATTACTTGTTAGCCTCTTCTACGAAATTGTAAGGTATTAAGAGAGTATCTTTCTATATTTCTGATATTTAGCAATATAGTGTCTGGCATAGAGAAGGTAATAAATAACATCTGGATGGACGAATAGATCAGTGGATGAATTGGTGTAATGAATGGATGAAATAAAGTGAGTAAGTGACGGATTTACGTAGACATACTTAATTATACAACAGTATAGTTTGGCCAATCAACAAAAGGAACTGATTTAAAATTTACCATGACATTAAAGACTTCATTACAGACTAAAGTAGAATTAGATTATCCATTGTGATATCCACATAGGTATAACAAATTTGTGACTGCATGCAGAATAGATACATATGCAGACATTTTAAAATATTTCTAATGATATCTTAGGAATACATACCTGGCAAAACACAGGTTTATGCATACTGGAAAATACTTGCAACAGCTCCTCTGAATCCCTGTAGTCAGTAGGGAGTTTATCTACACAAAGGCACTTAGAATGAATGAGCTCTGCGGTCAATAGATTAACATCCATCCATTGTGCAAAGAGAGCTGATGCTCCCAATTGTTTGCCCAAAAGCTCCAATCTAGCCTTTGCAGCAAAGTCCTTTTTCATGTATTCTACAAATCCATAGCCTTTGGAATGGCCAGTAACTTCACTGTAGACCAGAAAACATCTCTCGATATTTCCATAAGCACGAACAAGTTCTTCAAACTCTTCTAATGTAAAAGAAGTGGGTAAGTTAGTAATACACAGCAAAGCATCTGTTGGCTGGAGCTGGACTATTAAGTCTTTTCCTCGAAAAGAATATTGATGAAACATCTGAATTGCATTCTGGGCTTGTTCCCCATTCAATAAGGTAACAAAAGCTGGAAGATAAAATAAAGAGTTTTCTAAGCTTGTGTTTTCAAACTTTTTTGACTGTGACTCACAGTAAGAAATACATTTTATGTCTTTGACTCAGTATACACAGACATATATGTTTCTGAAACACAAGCATGAGGAAGTAATACTCCTACCACATGCAAAACACTCAGGTATTTTCTATTCAATTGCGTTTTTTAATGCTGACACCCCCAGTAAACTAATATCATGACCAGTAACTGAAAGTTAACATACAGAAATTATATTAGGAGTTCCACTATAATATTCTGGGTTTTCTTTCTTTTTCTTTTTCTTTTTTTTTTTTTTAATTTTATAGGCCCTGGCTAGGTAGCTCAGTTATTTAGCATGTCAACCCCATATGCCAAAGTTGCAAGTTTGATCTCTGGTCAGGGCACATACAAGAAGCACTCAATGAATGCATTAATAAGTGAAACAATAAACTGATGTTTCTTTCTCTCTCTCCTGCCCCCTTTCCCTTATCTCTCTAAAAAAGTCAATATATTTTTTTAAAAGATCGAGTTTTAAAAAATTATCTTTGCAAACTACATGTAGATTTTATTCTTCTTCCCCCAGAAAATTGTGATGCAAAATTTTATGAAGCCTTAAAACCTTTCTTTCTTTTCATGGAGTTCTACAAGAACCTATTAGATAACAAAAACCAAAAAGGTATAGCAAAAACAGCACCAAAATGCCCAGAGGAAGCCAGTTCTTTCTCCAAGTCATGCGTGTTTCCTCAAAATGAATTAGACTGAAATAACACACAATTTGGTATACTTTTTGGGTTTGGTTTTGTTATATTTAATCATCACCTGAGGATATGTTTATTGCTCTTAGTGAGACAGAAATATCGACTGGTTGCCTCTCATATGCGCTCTGACTGGGGATCAAACGTGCAACCTAGGTATGTGCCCTGACTGGGGACTGAACCCATAACCTTTCGGTGTACGGGGTGATGTTCCAACCAACTGAGCCACCTGCCCATGGATCAATTTGGCATACTTTTTGGATGAACTATATGGTATGAAAAGATCACAGCATTATGATACTGGACAAGTAGCTTACTTTTGAATCTTTCTAAAACAAACAAAAAATCCGTCCTGTCTACCTAATGAAGTTGTTGCAGCATCAGGCAACAGATAAACGTGAGAATTTGTAAAACTGAAACATGATGCAAATATAGGTTCTAAATCAATGAGCTATTACACACATTCATACCTGATAAAATTAAAATGTAGCCATATTAAATTGGTTATCTGTTATAATAAAAACAAGGAATATAGAGATTTCAAGTAATATTTTAAAAAAGAAAGAAAAAAGTTAAAGCCCTGGTTAAAAGAAGCAACAAAGGGCAATCCTCAAATCACAAATAAATTGCTGTCTCAAAAGCTCCTCCCTCTCCGTCTGCTCCCCCTCTCTATTTGCAACAGACAGTGGTGTTGCTCCATGTGAGTGTTTAACACACCCAAATTAAATTATAACCACATTGCAAATATGCACATAACAAGAGAGAAAGAAGTAATTTAAATAGCACAGGCAATCCCACCAGTCATTTCACTCAAACTGTTCTTCCCTCAGTTGGGCTTAGCGAGCCATGTGGCTCTCAGAGTGTGAGCATCTCACATCGAATGTGAAGTTAACATTTAGAGAAACACATTTTTGGCTTAACATTGTCCCCACAGACAAGGAAAAAAACTACCAAAGAAATAGCTAGCTAGCTTTTCCAACATGAGGGAAAAAATGGCCTTCCTGCACTTTTTGAGAGAATTACTTCTTGGTTTCCAACATCCCTTTTTAAAAGACTTCAGTTGTTTTTATTCTTTGTCTTTCTTCCTATGCTGACATAAAATACCTTTTAACTGTTTTCAAAAACAAGCAAACAAGACAACAATTTATAAATACTGGTTGTATTTTGTATCAGCGCATAAACTTACCAGTTCAAATGTGATTTGAATTCTTAGAGCATTTGAAACTTCACCATTCCCTTCCTTAACATTCTTAATATACTCCTTTCTGATTCTCCTCATACCCTTCCTTCCTTAATTTCCTTTTCTAGATCTTTCTCCCCCAACCACTCCTATAACGTGGTAATCCTTAGGGCGATTTTCTGCAGAGTCACACACAGTAACACCTATGGCTGTATCCAGCATCCCTGAGCCACTGAATGTCCCTCCTCTCTCCTTCTACGCCCTCTTCCCCTGCACACTCATGTCCACTCCCATTTATTCAGTACTATGCGCCAGGTACCATGCCGGGCACCGTAAATGAATTGTTGAACAAAATATAAGATTCCTTTCCACATAGCTCACAATCCAACAGAGGATGGCACACATCTGACAAAGAGTTACAACAGCGGTGTTACCAAAGAAGAAACAGCGGGGGCTATAAAAGCGATTAAATTGAGCAAAATGACCTAGTCTGGGGCTCACAGGAGGCCTCCTATACCCTGGTAACTCCCAAATCTATGTTTCCAATCTTCAGTCCCCTATATGCCCACATACAGATTCCCATATGACAAAACATAACTCATGATCTTTATCCTATCTCTGCCCCCACACCAAATATCCAAATATCTCAATATTGCTCATCTTTCCATATTCCCTATTTCAACTGTTAGCACTACACTCACAAATCGGAAACCTGGGCGTTACACTAGACCCTCACCTCCCACATAAAAAGAATCCTCAAATTCTACCCTCCAAAGCAGTCTTGAACCTACCCTCTTTTCTTCATTCCTTTTCCACAATGACAATAAAATGATTTCTCAAAAACAGAAGTTTAGTTGTGTCTTTTTACTGCCAAAAATGCCATGGTTTGGTATTGCCCATAAAGCCCAGTCTGAGCTCAGGTACCATGGCCTACAAGGCCCATTACGCTCTGACTCCAGACCCATTAACTGCCATGCTTTCCCCTTCCCAACACAGTCCTTTATTCTCCAAAAACACTCATTCCCTAGGTATCAACGTGTTTGAGACATCTCTACATCCATTACACATCGAATCCCCCTGCCTACAAGATCTCTCCTCAAGTTTTCAGCCCCCCAAAACCTGTTAGTAGACATTCAAATCCAGCCCAAAGGTTACTGTATCATGATCTCTGGGAGCCTCCCCGGATGCTCTCATGCAGTTCAAGTTAACAATTCCTTTCTTATTAAACCTTTGTATTTTGAACATTGCTTGGATTGTTGCACACATCACACTGTATTTTATTTGTTTAGATGGCTGCTACCCTACTAAGTGGTGAGCTCCCTAAATTACTAATGGATATATCACTGTCAACTACCACAGTGTCTGGCACCAAGTAGCAGCTTTGTAAATGTTAGCTGAATGAATGAAGGCAGACATACTTAGATTAATAAACTTAAAAACTGACAACCTCTTATTTTCCTTCCCTTAGATATCTGCATTTGCTCAACCCAAATAAGACACTTTATGGTAGAATTTAGATAAAATAATGAAGCAAATTTAAAAGTTCAGGAAGTAGGGAAAGGAGCTCACTGATTCTCTTCTATTGTTTCTTCCATTTCTTTCCCAAGGCCACAGATTCTCTTAAAAGAGTCCAAATTTTTTTTTTTTCACACTGACTCTTGTGGAAATGGCAGGTGTCTGTCATTCTACAGAAAAATGGGTAAGGGATCTGGAGATTAATTCTACTTCTACTTTCCTATTGAAATCTAAACATTCCACAATTGGTCCCAATCCTTTCACAAGTCATAATTTTATTTACCCTTGACCACCGCTTGCTTTACTAGTTAATTTATTGTTGAGACAAATTTCATGGCAAGAAGGCAAAAAATTATTTCCCTAATGTATACTATTTTAATACAATTATTTCCTCTCACCTACTATAGTAAGGTCATAGTCTGTAACTGTAAGCAGTTTTTATTAATATGTCTACTAATTATTTGGTTCTTCAAGGACCACCATAACTACTGAAACCCAAGGCAACATTATTTAATACAATTATTGAGTTTTTTTGTTGTATTACTGTAGTGTGTGAGTTAGAGTTAATATTATGTCATCTTTAATTTATCGCAGTCTACCAACAAGTGACACTGACCACTTCACGTAGAGTCCAAGGACTTCACAACAGTACTCCCATTTACCCGCAGCCTTTGTATTATTGTCGTCATAAATTCCATTTCTAATGTCTTATATACCCTCCATAAGACAGTGTTATTATTTTCACTTTAAATTGTCAATTATCTTTTGAAAAAATTTAAATATTAAGAAAATAGCCTTTATGCACACAATAACCCTATCTGTTAGTCTTCATGTTTTGGTGTAGAGCCAAATTTCCATCTACTCCTATTTTCTTTCTGCATAAAAGACTTCCTCACATTTTTACAATGCAGGTCTGATAATGAAGAATCCTTTCACCTTTTACATGACTGAAAAACCATGTTCACTCTTGTTCTCGAAGATATTTTTGGTGGGTAAATAATTCCATGCAGATCTTTTTTTCCAATTAAAAAAAAAAGAAAAGATTTTGCCCCATGGTCTTTTCGCTCACGTTATTTCTGAGAAATTCATGGTCATCTTTATCTGATATTGTCCCTTTTTTTTTTTTTTAGCTGCTTTAAGATTTCTTCTTTATGACTAATTGTAAGCAATTTGATTACAATGTGCCTTGTTGTTTTCTTTGTGCTTTTGTGCTTGGGGTTGGTTAAGCGTTGCAGATCTCTGGGTGTAGAGCTTTCATCAAATCTGGTTATTTTTCAGCCATTAATTCTTTAAATTTTTTTCTGCAATCCCCCCACCCTCTTTCAGAGACTACAATTACTCTAATAGCAGGGAAGTTGTCCAACAGTTCACTGATATTTCTGTTCATGTTTTATAGGTTTTACTTTTCACTGTTTCATTTTCAATAGTTTTTCTCTCTATTTTCATTCAGTAATCTTTTCTTCTGTCATGTCTATTCTGCTGTTAACCCCATCTACTGTACTTTTTATCTCAGACATTGTCATTTTCGTCTCTAGAAATCTGACTTGGTATTTTTCAATTATCTTCTATATTGCCAATTAATATGCTCAAACATTACTATAATCTCTCGTACAGATGGAGCATTGTTATAAAAACTGTGTTAATGTCTATTTTCATTAATTCTCTTGTTTCAATTCCAAGTAGTTTTGATTAATTAGCCTTCTCTTTATTATGAATTATATTTTCCTCCTTCTTTGTCATATCTGGTAATTTTTAGTTGATGCTAGACACTATAAGTGTTACCTCGGTGGATGTTGATGTTTTTGTGTTTATAAAAATATTAAGTTTTGTTCTAGGATGTGGTTAAGTTACTAGGAAACAGCTTGATCCTTTCTGGTCTCACTTTTAAATTTTGTTAGGTTAGACCAGAATTAATTTTCTTGACTCCTGAGTCAAGGTCCTTCTGAATACTCCTTCTGATGCACCATGAATTTCGAGGTTTATCACCCTAGCTAATGACAGTAGCACTATTCTTGGCCCTGTGTGAACCCAGAAGACTGTTACCTCTAAACCCTTTGTCAATATTTAGTAGCTTTGAAATTGTACATAACATATGACCCAGTAATTTACTTGTGGAGAAACAGTTTCAATGTATGTTAGAAAACAGAGGATATTCATTGTAGCATTATTTGAAATACAGAAAAGATTAAAGTTTCCTAAATGCCTACTATTAGTGAATAGATTTATCAATAGTGATAAATTCACAGGACAGAATAATATGTGGTCGTTTAAATCAGTGAACTAGAGCTGTATTTATCAACATGAAAATGTCTGAAAATAGGACTGAATGTTTTTAAAAAGTTACTAAATGAAACATATAGAATATCATTTATATAAAGTTTAATAAACACTGAGAACAACCTTATTAATTATACCTATACATAATAAAATTACAGGTATTAAATAAGGTAGTCTGTTAACAGATAGCTCCACAATCTCAATGGCTTAACAAAACAAAAGGTTTTATTGTTCTTGTTGTTCATGTTACATATTTCATACTGAAAGGAAGAAAGGAAGGATGCAGGCTTTTCGCATCACAGTCCCTCTGGGACCTAAGCTGAAAGAGGTGCTGCAATCTTCCTCAATTACTTTAGCAGGGAGAAGGGGCAGCAATGAACCACATGCTGGCTCTGAGATCTTCAATCTAGAAGAGATACATGTTATTTCCATTCGCACTTCATTCAGCAAAAACCAAGTCACACATCCACTCCCAACTTCACAGAGGGAGAGAAGAGAACTGTCCTACCTCATGGCCAGAGGAAACAGAACAAGAGTGTGTGAACAGTTCTAATGACTGCCACAAGGTAATGGCACACTATAGAAAGTATGTGCCAAATTTATAAATGCTTGGCCCCAGGTAAGGAGGGAGAGAAGGGGTGGAATCAGAGATGGGTAGAAACTGTATTTCACTTTCATCTGTAACGTTCCTATTTTTAATATTTTACAGTTAGAAAAAAAAAGCAGAATTCCTGACCATACTACCAGAGACTTTTATGCACTAGATCTACATTAGGGCTCCAGCGTGTGTGTGTGTGTATGTTTATATATATTTAAAAAAAAAATCTTTTAAGCATTAAAAAAATATTTTTATAAAACATTTACTAACTTGGGAATGGATGTGTACATAGTGATTATATCACCCTCCATACTTTTCCTTACTTTTTATCATCTCAAAAAGTGTTTTTTAGACATGTCATATGTAAACAAAGGAAATAATCTAGTTCAGTCTTTTATATCACAGATATAAAACTAATACCCACAAAAATTAAACAATTTTCTCAATTGGCCCAGCTAAGATTAATGATAGTTTATTCACCAAGTCTAGTAATAAATTATTAAAATTGAAGATACAAAACCTACAAAAATATTCATTATAATATTAAAACCAATAATGTTAGAATAATCATTATAAAAATTAATAAGGCTCTAGTAACACTATATTAATGTGATTAAAATTAAGTATATCAGCCCTGGCTGGTGTGGCTCAGTGGACTGACCACCAGCCAGTGAGCCAGAAGGTCGCCAGTTCAATTCCGTCAGGGCACACGCCTGGGCTGCAGGCCAGGTCCCAGCTGGGGGCATGTGAGAGGTAACCAATTGATGTGCTCTCTCAAACATTGATGTTTCTCTCCCTCTCTTTTTCACTCCCTTTCCCTCTCTGTAATAATATATAAATAATCTTTAAAAAAATTAAAATTTAGGATACCAATATTATCTTCACAAAATAAATTTTACAAGTTACATTTATATGGTTTAATGCTTAAGAATTTCAGTGATTAGCTTAAGAATGAAAAGATTTTTTTTATAATGACTCCTGTACAATCAAAATGAAATCAAATGCTTAGAACTGAAATCTTACCTGTTCGCTTATTTCTGTCCACATAACAATACTTTAACTCGTAGTCTTGTAATAAGTCGTGAACTTCCTGAAAGAGACCAAACATGAATTCAATTAATACACAAAGGCAGTTAGTGGATAATCCAGTTGTATTAGCCTACCATCACTACCACCGCCCTCTCCCAAGTAAAAATCTTCCGTGAATTTCTATTACTTATTCAAATTAAAGGCATTTAAAGCCCATCAGACGTGGCACCAACCTACCTCTCCAAATATACCTCCAATACAACCCCTACACATTCCCATATTCCTGTTTCAATGACTGCTCACTGCCTCATGACTACACCACACACAGTCCTTACTCTGAATTTCTGTTGATGCTGACACCTAGACCTAGCATGGGGCAAACATACCACTAAAGTTCCCAAAATTGACCTGAAACTGCATGCATCCTTTGAAATCTGACCTCAAATGTTCTTCCAGGAATCTTTTCCCAATTCTTTTCCACAGGACATGACCTTTCCCACCTCTAGGCTAATGCTGGTCATACTTTTTTATGCTTCTCGTATAGAAAAAAATATTGGCATTAAACATTTCTACTTATGTACTTACATACTACGTTCTTAACAAGTAATAAACCTATAGATGCTTAGAGTACCAGCGTGGAGAATAAATAAATGTAGACTGCAAACCTAACTTAGAGATCCCTAGAAATGAAAAGAAGTAACAACCACCAAGATATGGTACACAGGTCAGTTTGTTTCCCCAGGATGTTTAAACTGGTCTTCTGGTTCATTCTGCTCCTATTATTAATCCAGTCTGAACTTGTTTCTTCTGATATCATAATTTCCACCCGTCTGCTGGCCTGAAAAAGTACATTTCTATTCCTAATTCTTCCTGTTAAGTTGAAATACTTGAGTACAGAAACTATATTCCATATATTTATATATTACCTGTATTGCTTTGCATATGCTAGACACTCAAATATACATTAAAGTGAATATAATTTAATTATTTTAACACTGAATTGATATTTGGCCTTGAAAAACATTTACTCAAAATGCAAAATAGATGCAGTTATTATTTTTTAAAGGAACTAGACTTCCACACAGGTAGACATTTTGATTTCAGATTGGAAAGTTACAGCCAACCTGTTCTATATTGCAAATAAATAAACTAAACATACTCAAATGCTAGTACATTAAGTTTACAATCTAAACTAATTCAATAATAATTCTTATTATTACTACTGTTATCATTAATATTCACTTAGCTTTTACTAGGTTCCACAGCAGTGAACTCACCGCTTTCTTAGAAATCAGGAAACTAGAGCAAAGCATATTCAAGTAAATTGTCAAAGTCCTATTCTTGGTAACTTGCTGAGTGAAGATTTACCCAGCAGTCTGGTTCCAGGACCGTACTCTTAACCTCTATGCCATACTACTTATTCCTTTCAGTGTTAATTAAAAATAGTACACTACTACTAATAGTTACAAAAAATAGTGTCACAAGTGCCCTAATAAGTAAACAGATGGGAAATAAATAAAAGGACAGTTACAAGTTAAGAAATAATTTCCCTTTTAACCCAGTGTAAGGGAGAAAAAGAATGATATGATAGACAAAGTATAAAAACATAATGCTGGGCCTTTTGGCTCTCAGAGTAGCACCATGGTGGTTGGCAAGAACAAGTGCCTTACAAAAGGCAGCTAAACGAAGACAAGAAGAAACTGGTTGAGCCATTTTCTAAGAAAGGCTGGTATGATATGAAAACAACACTATGTTCAATATAAGAAATATTAGGGGAAAACTAGTCACAAAAACTCAAGGAACCAAAATCGCACGGATGATCTCAAGTGTCATGTTTCTGAAGTAAGCCTAGCTATTCTGCAGAATGATGAACTTGCATTTAGAAAATTCAAGCTTTTTTTTCCAGGGAAAAAACTGCCTAACTAATTTCCACAGTGTGGATCTAACCCATTACTTCATGGTCAAAAAGTGGCAGACCAGACTGAAGCTCATGTTGATATCAAGACTACCGATGGTTATTTGATTCATCTGTTCTGAGTCGGTTTTACTAAAAACTACAACAATCAGATTTGAAATAACTCTCTTACACTCAGCATCAACAGATCTGCCAAATCTGGAGAAGATGGTGAAAATCATGACCTAAGACAGACAGACAAATGACTTGAAAGAAGTGGTCAATAAATTAATTCCAGATAGCACTGGAAAAGACAGAGGAAAAGCTTGCCAACCTATTTATCTGCTCCATGACGTCTTTGTTAGTAAAGTCAAAATGCGGAAGAAGCCCAAATTTGAATTGAGAAACTGATCGAGCTTCATTGTGAAGGTTGCAGTTCTGGAAAAGCTACTGGGGATGAGAGAGGTGCTAAAGTTGAATGAACTGATGGATATAAGACCCCAGTCCAAGAATCTGTTTAAAATTCAGACACTTAATGGTGACAAAAAAAAAAAAATCCTGTGGGGGGAAAACACAAAATAATGCTGGGTGAAAATAAATGTAATCACCTATGATAATAAAGATTAAAAAAGTAAAGTTGATAACTTGGTATTCCTAATTAGTAAGTCAATATTAGAAATGTTTTAGAAATCAAAGACTTCCAGCCAAGATGGAGGCATAGATAGATATGCTTTGCTTCCTCACACAACCAAAAGAAGGCCAACAAATTTAAAAACAAAAAAGAACCAGAACTGCCAGAAAATTGAACTCTATGGAAGTCCAACAACCAAGGAGTTAAAGAAGAAACATTTGCCCAGACCAGTAGGAGGGGCAGAGATGGGCAGCCAGGGCGGAGAGCACGCATGGTAAAGCAGCGGCTAGGGAATGAGCCAAGCAAGGTGGGCAGCTGGTATACCAGGTAGTCCTACATTTGCATGCAGATAAATCAGGAGGAACAGCTGGAGAGCGAGATACCACACAGTCTCGGGTTCCAGTACAGGAAAAGATATTCTCAAAACCTCCGGCTGTAAACACCTGTGGGGGTTGCAGCAGCAGGAGAAACTCCCAGCCTCACAGAGAGTCTGTTGGAGAGACCCACAGGGTCATAGAACACACACAAACCCACCTACCCAGGAACCAGCACCAGAAGGGCCCAATTTGCTTGTGGGTAGCTTGTGGGTAGCAGGGGAAGTGACTGAAAGCCAGCAGAGAGCCAACCAAAGGGCATTATTCCCTTTCAGACCCCTCCCCCACATAGAGTGTCACAACACAGCAACCTGGGTTGCCCCACCCTGGTGAATACCTAAGGCTCTGCCCCTTCCAACATAACAGGCCTCCAAGACAAAAAATATGGCCCAAATGAAAGAATAGGGCAAAGCTCCAAAAACAGAAATAAGCAATGAAGAGATAGCCAACCTATGAGATGCACAGTTCAAAACACTGGTAATCAGGATGCTCACGGAAATGATTGAGTATGGTCACAAAATAGAGGAAAAAGTTAAGGCTATGCAAAGTCAAAAAAAGAAAAATACCACAGGGAACCATCGATAAAGGGAAGGAAGCTGGGACTCAAGTCAGTGACTGGGAGCAGAAGGAGGAGATAAACATTCAGCCAAAGCAGAATGAAGACACAAGAATTCAAAAGAATGAGGAGAGGCTTAGGGACCTCTGGGACAACTTTAAATGTTCCAACATCCAAATCATAGGGGTGCCAGAAGGAGAAGAGGAAGAGTAAATTGAAAACTTACTCAAAAAAAAAATAATGAAGGAGAACTTTCCCAATCTGGCCAAGGAAATTGACTTCCAGGAGATCCGCAAAGCTCAGAGAGTCCCAAAGAAGTTGGACCCAAGGATTAAGTTACCCAAGATTAAAGATAAGGAGAGACTCTTAAAAGAAGCAAGAGAAAAGGAGACAGTTACCTACAAAGGAGTTCCCATAAGACTATCAGCTGATTTCTCAAAGGAAACCTTGCTGGCAAGAAGTATTCAAAGTCATGGAAGGCAAGGACCTACATCCAAGATTACTCTATCCCGCAAAGCTATCATTTAGAATAGAAGGGCAGATAAAGTGCTTCCCAAATAACGTAAAGTTAAACGAGTTCATCACCACCAAGCACTATTTATATGAAACATTAAAGGGACTTATCTAAGAAAAAGAAGATCAAAAACTATGAACAATAAAATGACAAAAAACTCATGACTATCAACAACTGAACCTAAAAAAAAACAAACAAAAACTAAGCAAATAACTAGAACAGGAGAAGAATCACAGAAATGGAGATCAGAGGGGAGGGAGTGGGGGGAGAATGGGGAAAAAGGCATCGGGAACAGGAAGCATAAATAGTAGGTACAAAATAGACAGGGGGATGTTAAGAATAGTATAGGAATTGGAGAAGCCAAAGAACTTATATGTACGACCCACAGACATGAACTAAGAGGGTGAGGGGCAATGCTGGTGGGGAGGGTGCAGGGTGGAGGGGGACAACAGGGAGAAAAAAAATGGGACAATGTAACAGCATAATCAATAAAAACCCAAAAATAAAGGAATGTTTTAAAAAACATATACTTAACAATTCTATATAATATTATTTGATAAAATTATATACTAATGATAAATATACAGATAATTTATATATTACTATGGTAATTTTTTATCTTGTAAACTCTGATGTTTTCTTGGACTTAAAAAACATACTGGAGGATCCAAGATGGCTGCAGAGTAGGTGGAAGCTACACTCACCTCCTCTCAGTACCAAACTGGATTTGCAACTAAATTATAGATCAGTCAACCTGAATAACCGACAGAAGACTAGCTGAACAGAATTCTTATAACCAAAGATTTATAGAAAAAGCAACGATAAGACTGGTAAGAAGGGCAGTGACACAGAAAGAGACTCACGTGTAGTGGCTGAAAATCTAGCAGGGCTGCCCAACCTTTTGGTATCTCTGTGTCACACTGGGAGAAAAAGGGCTGTCAGGGGCCACACATTAAATACACTGTGACACACAATCACAAAAAAAATCTCAAAATGTTTTAAATAAACTTATGATTTTGGATTGAGCCACATTCACAGCCATCCTGGGATGCATGTGGCCTGTGGACCGCAGGTTGGACACCCCTGATTCTA